AGAAGAAGAGAATGCATGATGAACTTCTACAAGCAATATCGAAGGTGTGTTGTAGTTTCTTCTTTTTTTATCTGAAAATTCTTGCTTAATAAAGACATGTCATTAGATTATAGATTCCTATAATTTCCCCATTGCAGAAAAGGATTGTTGAGCTTGGTATTAAAGCCCAGTACTCTCCATATACCTAAGGCAACACAGTGAGACTCTGTCTCAAAAAAAAAAAAAAAAAAAAAAAAGATATATACAACTATTATATATCAATAAAAATTTCCTTAAAAAGGTATAAGAAATAAAAAGTAATAGAAAAAAAATTTTATCACCAATTACAATAAATGCAACTGAATTAAACTCACCTATTAAAATAAGTCAAGCAGGATAAAAGGGTAAAACGCCCAGGAATATGCTCTTTATAAAAAACAGATCTGAAACATAAAGACACAAAGGAAGTGGTTAGAAAATTAAATTATTGACAAATACAGTAACAAAACCTGAAAAACAATATCATCAGACAAAAGAGAACTTGGACTGAAAGGCACTCACGAAGATAAAGAGGCATATTTCTTAGTGTGGTTTGGAATTTTGGTCCCAATTCCTCACCCCACTTTAATAAGATTATATTAATACATTAACACTCATTGCCAGGTAACTTTGCCTTTCCCTCCAACTGTGGATATAATTGATATTAACTTAGCCATGTAATTTGTTTTGGTTAATGTAATATTAGTCCATTTGGAAGCAGAGGTTTTAAGGGTGTTTGCATGATCTGTCCTGTGCTCTGTTGATCCATTATAAGAACATGTCCTGGTAATTACTGTCCTTTTGGCCTGAGCCCCAGAAAGAACACATGCCAAGCAGATCTGAACACATCCTGCAGCACAACCACTCAGCCAAGCCCAGCCTAGAACAGTTGAACACAGTTGCAAACCTGTGAACATAATAAATACTTGCCCTTGTATGCCACTAAGTTTAGGGGTGGTTTGTTAAACATCATTATCATGGCAATAGCTAACTAATACACATAATAAAAGAAGAAAGCCATAAAATAATAATGGACCTGAAGAAGATCACCAAGGAAAACTGGAAAGCTACAGAACAGAGCCAAGGACTGTTGGGGGGAAAAAAAAGCAGCAAAGGAGACTAAGGAGGGGTGGTCAAAAGAGAAGAAGAATCGCTAAAAAATACAATTTTTTTTTAAGCGGTTACCTACTATACCAATGGTACAGAGAAGTCAACTTAAGTAACAACCATTATATTTGTCACAATCACGCACACTTCGCGACGCTCACACTCGCTACACAACACCCTTAATCACAATCACATACATATCACACGCTTCACCATAGTCACACACAACCAAAAACATCACCGTGACACAAACATCCACATCACAATCACTCCATCACGATTACTCATGGGGTCACAATTACACACCCACACTAACTCCCACCACAGTTTTTGCTCCAACAGCTCACCGGTAGAGGCGTACTCGCACCCCGAGCCCTCCCCCTTGCCGCTACCCCGGACCCTCTGGGCCTAAGAGGCTCCGTCCCATCAGCCGCCCGCGGCCGGTACGGTCCACAGTGCAGACTGTACGAGTCCCTCCCTCACCCCTCGCTACGGGGACTCGGCAGCATCACCTGCCGGAAACCCCAGAATGTGCATCCAGCTCGCAGTTTCTGAGAGGCCGGGAGAAGGTGACTCGGAGACAAGACCTGCACCGACGCGGGTAACACCGAACCATCCCTCAGCGCCCACGACGTTCCAGAGCACAACACCTCCCAGAAGGCCTCGCGGGCCGATTTAACTTCCGGCCGGAAGCAGTCAGCGTTTCCTATATGAGGGAGCTGGGATGCGCCGAGTCCGCCACGCTACGGCGACGCGTTAACTCTGAGCCTCAGCTGGACGTTTAGAGTTGCTGGAGCGGTCGTTTCGGGTGGGCACAGTGGGACGCTGACGAGGTCGGCTTGGGTTCTTCTGCGGACCACATTTCCCAGAGGGCCTGGTGTCCCCTTTTCTCGCAGGAACTTGAATGTTTCGTCACGCCTGGCGGGATTGTTAGATCAGAGAGGTGGGAGATTCTGGTTCCCCGGGTAACCGGCTCAGTCTGCAGGTTCGGATCCTGAAAGACCTGAAAGGCCTTAGGTGAGAACACCGAAGGCCACTGGGGAGTGCAGGCGGAGGGGCCTGAAAAGAGGACGTCGTGGAATTATCTGTGAGATACATTGTGACACCACGGTTTTATGTGCGGATATGGGATGCCTGTCATTGTGGGTTGTGACTGTGTGCGTCTGTGTACGACACTGTAGGGTGCCAGTGACTGTAATTGTGTGTCCCGTGATGGGTATGTGATTGTAACTGTATTACCGTGTGTGTCCCCTTGGTTTAAGTATGACTGTGCCTAAATGTACGTAGCACTGTGTGTAGGGGCGTGGGGCTCCTGTCAGCTGTGTCGTTTGTGACTCCAGAACTCTGTCCCTAGGAAACCTCTCTGATCCAGTCAGATTCTAGCCCTAGACAGCAGTGAACTCAGCCTTTGCCTGATTTCCATGGATTGGACAGGATGCCTCATTCTCCTCTGATCTCCATTCCTTGTGTGTGGTGGGTAATGGGGATGGGGCTGGGGGCGACCTCTGACCTGACCAATTTGGGTCCTAAGAAAAGCCTGCTGTCTCACAATTACTTTTTTCCTCTTCCACTTCCATGGTTCTCCAGCTGAGTCACTCAGAAAAGAAGAAGAGAATGCATGATGAACTTCTACAAGCAATATCGAAGGTGTGTTGTAGTTTCTTCTTTTTTTATCTGAAAATTCTTGCTTAATAAAGA